TTCTTTTTCAGCAAAAAAGAATTCAATTACAGCTCGTTGCTTGTAACGAGAGTCGTTCACAGACGCCATTTTAACAGTTCACTACAGCTCCGCCATTGGTTGGAATCATTTGAAACTCCGTACACGAACGCGAGAAACATCAAATCTCAAGCATGTAAAAGTACACTTTTCTATCTTCATTATTGGCTGAGAAAAAAAATGTGGGGCATTATTTAATGAGCGACCCTCGTATCTTAATCTTTACTTCTTTAGATATCAGAAGGGAAAACAAAAGATTCCGAATTGCATGTTAGTAAACTCCCCAAATTGAATTTCTTCTTTATGTATCTAACTAACTAACCAACTAACTAGATAGCTTACTGAACCCGAAGGTCCATCACCGAATTAACCAAAGCCCTCCACCGGACCCTCTCCTGGGCCAACAAAATCCAGTCTCCTTCAACTCCCATCTCCCATAGATCCTGCCTGAGATTATCCTCCCATCTACGTCTAGGTCTCCCCAGCGGTCTCGTCCCCTCAGACTTCCCAACCAATATCCGGTGCACACCTCTTGTCCCATCCATACGCGCTACATGCCCCGCCCATCTCATTCTTCTCGACTTAATTACCCTGACAATATTGGGGAGGAGTACAGATTTTTAAGTTTGTCATTATGCAGTTTTCTCCAGACCCCACCGTCTTCTCTCCTAGGCCCAAATATCCTCAACACCCTATTCTCAAATACCTGCAATCTACGTTCCGCCCTCTGAGTGAGAGACCATGTTTCGCACCCCTACAAAACAACAGACAAAATTATTGTTTTGTATACTTTAATTTTCAGATTCTTACAAATTAGACGGGAAGACAAAATATTTTGAACTGAGAAGTAGCAAGCATTTCCAGAATTTAATCTCCTCCTAACTTCCTCATGAGTGTCATTTTCATTTGTTATTGTTGTTCCCAGATATTTGAACTTTGTAACCGTCCCCCAATAAATTAACATCATCAGCAAATGCCAATAGCTGATGTGTCCCGTTCAATTGCAAACCCTCCTGCCTATCTTGGACTTTCCTGATGGCATATTCTAGCGCGAAGTTAAAGAGCAAGGGAGACAAAGCATCTCCTTGTTTTAGACCGTTCTTGATGAAGAATGTCTCAGATACATATTTACCTACTCGAATTTTGCTACAGGTTTCATTTAAGCACATTTTTATTAGACTCACTAGCTTCTTTGGTATACCAAATTCAATAAGAATATTGTATAACACTTCTCTCTTCACAGAGTCATAGGCTTTTTTGAAATCTATAAATAATTCATATACAGTCCCACCAAACTCCTATTTTTTCTCTAGTATCTGACAAATGCAAAAGATCTGATCAATCGTTGATCTGTTTCGTCTGAACCGATACTCTAAAATCAATTTTTATTGTTACTAAATACACCACAACATTAAGATTTGCTATCTTCAATACCATTCTGAAGTAACACAATGGCAATAGTATGCTATAATGACATTTTCACCCAACACAAAATGTTAAATCGTTACTTACGATATAATGACTGACTAACTCTATGGCACAAAGCCTGAAGCCGAGCCTTGGCCTCCTGCCACATGGGAAGTTTCTTACTTTTGAAGTGTGCATTTATGAGTAGTGAGTGACAAGTCCACTGCCTCTGCACAATTTCTACTCAATCCTGATTTGCCTGCTAGAGCCATCTAGTAGTGAATCAGGAGAGACTTGGGAGCTTAATTTTGCTTATAAAACATCTTTCATGCTCGTAAGGCTCTTTAACCTGCCGTAAATCTATGACATGGGACTGCAAGCTTTACTTCCCCTCCAAAGGAAGTTGTGTATGGATTTTATCACCCTTAAAAATCCATCGACCTTGGCAGGGTTTGAACCAGTGAAACCTTGTGTCCAGTGGCAAGCAGGCTAACCACTAGCCTGACATGGGCAACACTTTGATATAATAGCACATGCAATTATGAGAGATTCCTTTAAAAAGTACAGAATTTAGACCAACTCAAAACTAGTTTTGGTCACTTAACTCAAATTTTGCCAGTTTTACTTCTTTCTCAAACTACATAATGTAACAGAACTATGACGAAAATTTTCAAAATAAGTATATACTAAAACCAAGCTACACACATTCTTTCAATAAGCCCATTCTCATCTAAGGCATGTGGAAGGTCACGCTTGTTGCCTAGCACCAGTACAGGGATCCCTGTCAACTGTGGTTTGTCCAGCAAGTTGTGCAGTTCATTACGAGATGCTTCAATCTTCTCTGGATCTGCAGCATCAACCATGTACCTACATAAAAATGTTTATTACTTTTAAACTTCCATATCTATAAATAAAACCGGTTTATTCATTTTACTGCTATGAAGAAAAATATGTCAGTTAAATGGGTATCAGTCACTATCCACTTTACTGCCAACATTTGTATATCAATGTAATACAGTGGAACCTCGATACACCACGCCTCGTTGTACCGCGGACTCAGATATACTGCGGCTGTGATCATGTCACCCAATACGATTACATATGTTTTATATATTTCACATATAACGCGGGCAGCTTATAACACTTAAACCCGTGTTTTATAGAGGTTCCACATATAAACATGTTATATTAGTTTATATCCTTACATCTAAGACATAAATTTCTTACATTATTTTTGCCTATTTTCCTTACATGATATGCATGAAGTAACAACAAGCCCATATGTTTGTCCATCCATGCCTCTTAAATTCCCACATAAATTCTTAAAAAATTTACAGATCTTAATGAAATTTTATAACATAATGCCACTACAGAAACTTCACCATGGCAGACATGTTAATATGCAAGACCAGAAACAACACTTAATGTAGGCCATAAAATTTTGTGCTGTAATATATCCTCAAAAAATATGCAACTCCTGTCAAAAATAGACTCTGTTTTTGTAGAATGGAAAGAAATAGTGGCCATATAAAGTCTACATTTGATTCAATGGTGGTAACTATTAACTAGGCATGTAAAATTGAGTATATAAATACACAAACATGCCTAAAAATTAAATAAAAAAAACTGTGTAACTGACACGTGCTATAAAAAATGTATGGAAAAATAAAGGTATTCTTTCATCCATTCTCAACTTTGGCACCAGATGCAAGAATGTGGTGTCCAAACCAGTTTGCCCTTGGGGAAAAGTGTTCCACAGTACTCATTTGACAGACAGCTCGGTTGATACAGAGCCAGAGATGCAATTTTTATTTATTAACCATTATAAACTGATATTATATCTGATAAATTTTATGTACTGGAAATCTGCACTATTAAAAGTTATGCACATAAAAGGGTCATTAATTGTATCATCATTAATTTGTAATTCCTGTTAGACTAATAATATAGGAGTAAACTATATTTCATAGGGTCTTCATAGCATTACAGACACTTATGTAAACATTTCATATGAATAAACGTGTATAATTTAATCATTTATCATCTGGGAGTTCAACACACTTACAAAAATTAGCTCTTCATTTACATAGTGGTTTAAAGAATGAATCTTCCACATAAACTGAGAAATTATTGTAAGATGCCTGTCTTCTGCCATATTCAGACTAACAGCAGTGAAAACCTCAAATCCTATATAAATTACTGCTTAGTCATGAGCTAACATTCTTCCTTTAGTAAAAAATTCAGAATACATATTAAAATGTACTACATACAGAGAAGTTACACAATCTTGCAAACAAAATTGACAGGAGATGAAAAATGTAACAAAATTAAAAAATATTTATGGTTCTTCAGCTAATGTGAAATATAATTAATTAAAAATAATCTCATTTTATGCATACTTAATAGCAATGTTACATACAGCTTTTTGTGGGGCAAAACAAATAATTAAGAATTCACTAGAGTTTGTACGACTAAAAAAAAAAGTAAAGCTGTCCCACTACACACCATGCAGGCACTTGGGGGGAGAGATGGTATAAACTCCACACTAGATAGGGGTGAGTGTTCAGAGTTATGCCTGGCCACACTTTAGCCCTGGGAAGGGACCCTTGTATCTATTGGAAAAGAGACAAGTCTGGATGCAGAGGCTATGGAAAAAATCCTCCACCCCTGTCAGGGATTGAAACCTGGTCAATCAGTCTGTTTGTCACTAAACTGACTGAGCTAACCCGGCTTATGTCCGTAACAACATTGCTACAAAATATACCCTGAACCACTAACCACATACAGAAGATAACCAGAAAATATGAGAAGAGGTCTCTCTCATACTTCTCTTCTGAAATTTTGAAGCTAATATGAAATTTGTAAAGTTAAGCTAAACTAGTCTCTCAAATAGCTGAACCCAAGCCATTTCAAGAGGAAGTATTACTTGTGTAACATAAAGAACTATCATACTAACCTACATACCATATTACCTTCCCTAAGAGCCACCTGAGGTCACTTAGGTGAAGTGATGCTGTATGAGTTAAGCACACAAAGTTAAATGACATAAAAGTGTTTAGATTGTGTAATAAACAACACTTTTGCCATTTCACAAAATTATCAAACTGACACAAAAAACTTTACCATAAGGAATAAAAGATCTGGATTTAATGAAATAAACAGCAGTCATCACAAACTGGCACAGCTATATTTTCCACAGACTGCAATAAACTAATGATTTCTCAGTGCCAGAATTGATTGATATAACACAGAGATACCACTAATACACGTATATCATACAAATATAACAAAACAGATTATATAAATTAACGCAAAATACTCCATAAATAAACCTGCACTTACACTATAGCGTTAACACCTCGGCAATAGCGTTCCCACATTGACCTAAACCGAGGCTGACCCCCAATGTCCCATACTTTGATTGTAACATTTCCTTTTGTTATCTTTCTCATGTTGAATCCTACTGTTGGAATCATATCTTCACTAAACTGGCCAGACTGTAAAACAAACAACAATGCATTCAACATACAGATACGTACAACTGACAACAAAGTCCATGATTACAGCAATGTTGTTCATATTCATGACAGTCCTGATACGTACACAAACACACAGCTAAGTTCAATGGTAAGAACTTCAAGTCTATGTTTACTTAGAATAATTGGTTTCTTACCGCTATGACATTTACAAAGGTTGTCTTCCCAGAATACTGCAAACCTACAAGTGTCAATTCCATCTCCTCCTTCCAAAATAAACTCTTAAACCAGTCCAAAATCCGATTAATCAAGGCCAACATTTTGTTAACACCGTCTTCTACAGAACCGAATAAAGTCGCACTTGAAACCTCCCTGCTACAGAAACAAGAATCGGTATACTTATAGCTGTACAATTACATGCAAGACTCCGACCGTCAAAAAACCTATGATCAACCAGTCGAATCACCACTATGGCCAACATACACACTGTAATATACGATGCTAACAGATGTAAGTCTAATATCATTTATTCAACATAAATATTATATTTCATTATTTTATTTAATACCAGTTAATTTACAGCATATTTATTTTACATTTCGTCAAGTTTATAACGTGTTATATGTGAGTACATATATATAATTGATTGGAGTTGTCTACAGGCAAAGGTATTGCCAACATACTATAGGCAAACCAACAGAAATCGAGATGGCTCTGTTCTGGGTTGTAGTGCCGTGTAGTCTGGTACAAGTTTACCAACGTTCCATAGGTCCTTGCTGCCTCCATCATCAGGGCAACGAGTCATCGCCCTGATAATAGAAGCAGCAAGGACCAACATCGAACTCACCGCCGTGAAAACATCAAAATCCGACACGAGTTGATGAATGTAATATAACAACACGAATCGTATTTTGTTAATTGATTCAGGTCAAATGTATTTAAACTCGACTTAATTCTCCTTACGCACATAATAGCCATACTCTGACAAAACTTGAAAAGAAGCAGTAAAGAAAGGAACTATTTGGAATGCACACAAGTTCCAAAAATGTTCAAAAGTCATCACACTGTTTAACAAAAGCAACCTATTGTTATCATTATTCATACTATCATTACTGTTCTCATTACTCAATTCATTTTCGTCTTATTTTGTGGAAGCGACAGGTTTTCACACGTATCAATGCATATGGGTCCATTAATTATTTAGATTACTTAATAATTCACTTCCCTTAACTCTCTCCTGGCGACGCGACGCCATAGCAACATTATTATTTTTATTCATACATTAAGCTTCCACTCCTTGATGTTAATTAAGCCATCTTTCCTTCCGGTGTCCGAAGCTTCTCTTTCCTGTGGGACAATAGGTCAGCATGCGGCGCTGAAGCCCATTCTTATTCATGCGTAATAAGCGCTTCAGTCAGTTTTCCTTGAATGTATTATGTTATCATTGAGGCTATTGACTGATAGACTCTTCCTTATCTCGGTGTCTCTTAAGCTGTCGTATCTTGTTAAGCCGAGAACCGGTCGTAGAAATCTCATCTCAGCCACTTCAATTCTACTTCTGTCATTGTTAATGTCTAATTTTCGCTTCCGTAGTGATCAGAGGCCACTGCCATAACTTTGTAACCCGCCCACGTAAAAATGTCTCACTCATACACTTCTTGATTGTAATAGCCGGATAACATTACAATTACATAGCTAGCACAAAGTGTCAGTATGAGCGATGACGGATTTGAAATCTAATAATTCGTATGACCATTGATAAATTCAAGGACGAATTATTCGTCTCACTGCGGTATCACCGTTAATAACGGCACCAGTCTTTGTTGAGGATCGTTGGAAATTACGTCAATTTAATGAATCATCCTTCCATCTGACGAATTTGTGTATCCGCCATGATGGTATTTTGATATTATGCAAGTTGAACAGATGGTGTTGCACAGAATTTGGATTTCAATTCCATGATTTGAAAATCTGTACAAACCACAATAAAGCAGATATATGATCAACCTTCAACATGAATTAACAGAGGAGAAACCCCTGTACTATGATATTGTCAGACAATAACTCCAGCATTAAAAGGTTTAGTGATATGCTAGTACAACATGGCCAGCTGGATTGTGTGTAAGCAGTGACCTATGGGCTGTAATGGTTAAAATTGCATATTTTAGATAATATGTTTCCCAATGCCATCATAAGATGATGTGTTGTCAACTTAATGCAGTTAAGAACCCATAAAATGGTAACATTTTGTCACAATCATTGGTTATGGCCACCACCAATTCTGAAGCATCCCAGCATATACATAAGGGTCTAAGGGAAAGCCATAAAAACTTTTCTCATGGCAATCAAATTCCAAGCTGAAAACGAACTAGATGTGAAGCACGAGTGCTACCAATCACAAACAATATTTTACCCAATCTAAATGACCTACTTGCACAATTTATAAATAGGCTTTGATGAAACAATTTCTTTCCACTTCCAAGACAGAAAGACCACCAGACCTATCCTATGACCTCAACTTGTGATCTTAATTTAACATCTTCATCTCAGCAATGACTGGGAACTATACAATAACAGTACAGTGGACAGTAAGTTTATGAACTGCACTTATTGAGGAATTATAAATGTCTTTAACACTCTGGGTGGCACGATTAATAAAAATGTATTTGAAGACATTTGATTCCAGTCCCTCCAGACTAATAATGAATTTTAAATATGAACTGAATATTCCCATGTTTTGCACCATTGTTTTTAACTGATTTAATGGTGTATAGACAATGGTGAATCCTGGTCTAGAAGTCAACTTGTATGGAAATGCAGAATTATTAAATCCCCCAAACAATTGCACCAAAGTGCTAAGGTATTTTCACACAGCATTAAAAAGAACAGTACAGGATAAAAACAATTGAACAAAACCTACAACGGACACACAAGATTAAGAAATAACATTAATGAACAAAAGAAACTCATAAATATGGCTGGCTTCTGGGATGTTATGCCATGCAGTCTGGTAGAAGTTTACAAACATTTTAAAAGTGCTTGCTGCCTGCTTCATCAGGGTCATTATCACCCTGATGACAGAGGCTGCAAGTACCACTGAAATTTTGGTAAACTTCTACCAGATTGCATATCTCAGAAGACAGTCACCTTCAAACTTACTGCCATGAGAACCTAAAATATCAAGAGTGACACAGTTCAAATATATATGGTGAATGTATACTGGTAAAATCAAATAAGGAAGAACAAATAATTTTGTTTGTATAGGAATAGGGCATCTGGATGCTACCACGTGTAGTAAAGTGTTGAAGAATTCAGTCTAGGTAATACATCTTAATACTTTTTGAAACATATGCCAACAAAAACCTGTTATAGCATAAGGCAACAAATTCTCTGAACTCTGTCAAGTTTGAACAAATCTGTCAATGTAATTGAATTCCATGTAACAGATGCATATCCCAATTTGGGTCATATACAGATGGTATACAAAACACACAGGCACCAGCAGTGGAAAAATAAAAGGAATCAAACAGTTTTAGGTCTTGATAAAACACATAATCAGTGTGGTGATGAAAGCAGGGCTTAGTCAAATAGAATTTCATGATCTTTATAAAACGAGATCATTACACAATTTCCAATTAAAGTTAATTCTAATAGTTCTGCACCTAAAAGAATGACATAATAGTAGTTTTTCCAAATAAATCAAACCATTACAAAACACCAATTTTGCAAAGAGGCACTGTCAGACTGAAAAAGTTTACAGTCATCAATATTATTAATAGTACAATATTTTTCAAATCATCTGCAAACAAGAGGTACTTAATATTAAGAACAATCACATGTATCATTAATAAATGTAATCAAAAGTAAGAATTCTACAGTACATCCCTGTGAAACTCCTACTTCACAACATATGAACATTATTATGTTGCTGTTGTTATATAGTAATAAATTTCTTTTAAATGTCTCCCATTTTTGTGGTCTGGCAGCACACTACTAGCCACTATATATGATAGCGTTTCTTCCATTATGAGACACTGACTAGAAGTTCGTTTATTTTTGTGCTGTTTACTTTTGAATTGTGACAAAATGTGCCACTGATGTTTACTGAATTTATTTTTAGTTAATTTCTTAATTATTTTCCATTCAGCCAAAATATATTGTTTTCTCTTCCTGCTTTCTTTCTTCCCTTTTTACATTTGTGCACATACCTTCTTTGTTACTCAATGTATTTGAATAAAACACCTTTCTTCTTTAAATTTGCAGTCCTCTCACCTTACCTGTCTTCCTTTTATCCTCACTGGCCATTACCCTCCTTCCATGTTCAACACTTGCAATCACTTGGCAGTTGATCCTTATAGCGCATTCCTTAGATGATGCCCTCCTCAGGGCCTCTCAGACATCTTTCTTCCTTTAACCCAATCCTTCATGTCTTTTTTTCTAAACCATCTCCGCTGGCCACATTCCTTCTACACATGGTACTTCTGAAATACATGGCATCACTTTAAGTGCATATTCTTTGCACTAAAAAATAAAAATTGTCTGTCTGAACACCTGTCCTTGGACACAATCTGAGCAATGACCCACAAGATCATCAGACTTACGCCTGCTTGATTTTTATTTATGGGATCATATTAAAAGTGTTGTGTATGCTACAGAATTTACAATGTAGTGGAACTACAATAAAGGCTAGAAGATCAATGTGATTTGATTCATAACACACCTGGAATTTTGAGTGTGTACAACAATCCTCAATAAGGTATACAACACACAGTGTGGAAATACAAGGACACTTCGAGCATTTTTTTGGAATTTGCTGTTGTCAAAACAGTGATCACTAATGCTGGAATCAGCAGTATGTAAATTAACACTTTCTTATGGACGAGTTTACACTACATTTCTTTTACCACCTCCTTCCAAAATAAGATCAGCCATAATTTCAATGATCTGTGTTTACATAGCTTTTTTCATTATTTTTGTGTAGAACACACCTCTAAAATGGTGGCACATATTTCAGAAACATCCATTTTTCAAAACTCATTCCCATCTTGATTCATTTCTACCCTAAAAATGGAGGTGATATGTTCCTTGAAAATGTTGACAGCCACCTGCAAGTCTAAATAATATTATTACCCAGGGGACCTCAACAGACATTACTATAGTTGGCAGCTCTAAGCAACCTTTGGTTGCTCATACCCTTGCTTCTGTGGTGCCGTACTGTGCTAATGAACATATGAGGGACAACCAGAAAGAAACAGTACAATTAAAACATTACTTCACCTTATGAAATTTGCAGGCAGACTGATCACAAATATGATGAACACGTGATGAGACATTCATGCAGAGGCTAGTTCTGTCTTTTACCTTCCAGACATCCCTCATATAATGTACATAAAGTTAGGGAAAAGGCTGATTTCATTTAAAATGGAAAATAAAATCAGATATTAAGTAGATGATATAGCAAAGAGTTTTACACCAAGTTTCA